CTCCTTAATAATGTTGTTAATTGAGTGTCTCAATACTGTCTTTAGCACAACTTTCTTTTTCCTTCCTACGATTTGGCTTCCTAGATCTTCCCATGTCCAAAACGTGAATACAGTTCAGAATGCAGTAGACCGTGACGGAGAAAGGAGGAGTGCCAATTTGGGCCTTCTGGCGGCCATGACCGATATTTTTTATTTCTTGTGTAGGAATTCCTTGGGGTCAGGCGGTCATGATATGACATAAAATTAAGGTCAGGTCTGAGCCATTCATTAGTTATGGGGGGGGGGGGGGTAAAGTGGGGGGTAAAATTCATAAACAGCTCCATTATGACAAACCTACATTATATTTTTGGATTTTTTCTTCTTAATTTTCATGTAATAATCCATATCAAAACATTCATTAGTAAAATTGATTGAAAAAAATATTCCATCGTTGAAAAGTAGGTCATGGTAATTAAGCTCATTAATTGCTAATTATATTAAAGATGAACTTAATTTTCTGCCTTAATGCACATAAAAACAATACCTTTATCATGTGTCATGCTTTAGTAAGATTTATTTTTGAATACTTTATAGAAAATGGAGAATTAATTAATGGGAGGGGGCGGGTTCACACTTTTGACAACTTTTGGTTGATATCAGAGTTGTCTTATGTAATTATATTAGATAATAAATATCTAATAAATAAATGTTAAATTGTACTGCACTAAGAACTGTTTAAAATAAATTGCTTGATAAATGTAGAGATATTTAAACCAGTTTGGTACGGCTGGTTTAGCTTTAAGCTAAAATGGCGGGATATAATGCCATCCCCTGACATATACCTTGTTAAGGATCTTTGTGTCTACCGGTGAGTATACATGTGCACCTTGTCTCAGACAGTTCATATACCCTTATATATACAATTAATACGTGGCAACTACACTTCACAACCTCAGCGATTTTAGTATACTTTCTTGGTTTGACTGTCACTGATATTGTACATATAATTTAGACATATAATTGTAATTCAACTGTTGTTCATAATTTTGTTCATCCAAATTAAGGTTTTAATAAGGAGTGTTTTCTAAGTTTATGCCCTGTTTTCTTTTCTTTTATCAATATGCCAGTGCACAGGCAGTGCGCTTGTTGTAAAGCACAATATAAAGTAAGGCTCTGCTGTCTGAATAAAACAGACATTCTGTCTTACTTGAAAGCAAATATTAATGATGCCTTAAGGTTTGGTGACCCCGTATGTAAAAAATGCAGGGGAAGATACTACAATCACCATTCATCTACTGAACATCCTAGTAGCGATGTAGAGCACCAGCTTGAGTCACCTGAAAACAAAAAAATCAAACTTGACATTCCACGGGCTACATTAGGTGAATCTCGATGTTTCATTTGTAAAATGTTAAGAGAGGAATGTAAAAGTAAAATGGTAATGCTCTCAACAGAAATGCGAGTAAAGATTTTTATTAAGACAGGTATCCTTGTCCCAAACACCTGCAGATGTTGTTCTTCCCACATAGTGAATGGTGATTTCCCATCTGATAGTCTATCTTCACTCGCATATTCCAGCAAAGACACTGAACTGGATTCTTCTGAAATATCAGAGATCCTTTTGACACTTAGGGCAGCTGCTTCAACGAAAAGTTGTTTAGACTTTGATTCCTCAGATGGATTAACTGATCAAGATTACTACCGTCTCACAGGTCTGTATAAAAATCAATTTTCTGACCTTTTACGATCAGTTAATCCCTCTCTTTACTCTACACTGAACAGAAGCGCAAGGACTGCATTAGCCATCCTGCTTGTAAAGTTGAGGACTGGCATGTCTTTATCAATATTAGCTTCTCTGTTCAACATGACAAAGAGAATATGTGGAAAATGTATTCATTCAGCTCGCCAAGCATTGATGACCCACTTCGTTCCTTCACACCTTGGCCTGCAACACATCACTAGAGAACAAGTAATTCAAAACCATACAACGGTATTTGCAAGGAAGATGTTTGCCTCTGGTGAAGATGTCGCTATAGCTGTTGCTGATGGCACATATATTTATGTTGAAAAGTCCAGCAACTATACTTTCCAACGACGCTCTTTTTCGATGCACAAAGGACGCCCTCTCCTGAAACCAATGCTTCTTGTGGCCTCAGATGGCTATATACTGTCTGTCCTAGGCCCATATTTAGCAGACGGTCGAAATAATGACGCCAACATTACAAAACGCATGTTGAAAACTAACACTGAGAACATCAAGGATTGGTTTCAAGATGATGATGTTCTTGTCGTTGACAGAGGCTTCAGAGATGTGACAGAACTGTTGAATGATGCTGGCATCAAAACAGAAATGCCATTTTTCTTGCCAAAGGGGCAGAAACAACACACACATACTGAGGCAAACGAATCTCGTCTTGTAACAAAGGTAAGGTGGGTTGTGGAGTCGGCAAATGGGCGGATTAAGCAGTGGAAGACCTTGGGACATGTTTTGCCCAACACTCTCATTCCAGTTGTAGGTGATTTTGTGAGAATTGTGTCTGCAATTTGTAATGCTTTTCGCCCCCCACTTGCCTCTGATTCTCCCAATGACCTCATCATTGCTGAGCGAATGTTGGCTCTGTCAAAATGTCCCAATAAATTGCAAATTCAAGTTGAAAAAGAAGGTTTGGCTAGGAAAAGAGCCATATGGGTCAAGCTTGATGAGGCCAGTTTGCCTGACTTTCCTCAGCTGACAGAACCGGAGTTGAGAGATCTTACCATGGGAGTATATCAGTTGAAGCAGGCAAAGTCATATACCATGGAGCACTTGTCTGAAGATGGCCAGTATGAATTAATGGCATGCAGGGAAAAGCCTGGCTTAATTAAAGTTCAGATTCGTTCCAGACATGTTGCTTCGAAACTGTACAACCTGTGGATTGAGTATTCCCCTGGTTTGACTCCTATATCTGGTTGGTATTGCCAGTGTAAGGTTGGTGCCAGGGTAGTGGGCTGCTGTGCCCATATTGCATCTGTTCTCTGGTACCTTTGTTATGAGCGACACCAGCCTAGGATAGCACACCCAACTGCCTCATCAAGCTACCTCAGCTGTGCTGATGACGCAATGATGATTGAGGACTGGTCTGAGTCTGACAGTGACAATGAGTAACTAACTATGTGTACGACCATTGTATGTATAGTGGAGTGAAATGCAACACTAGAGGTTAAGATTGATATCTTTCATTAGCCATTTCTGTGTTAATACTTCGGTAAAACCACTAGATACAGACATATGGTCAAAGTTGTCGAACTAAAATTCAAAGCGCCGCCTCTTCTTTGTTTTCTTTAAAGTATGCAAAAATATTTCTTTTTAAAACATGGTACATGATAAAGGTATTGTTTTTATGTACATTAAGGCAGAAAATTAAGTTCATCTTTAATATAATTCGCAATTAATGAGCTTAATTACCATGACCTACTTTTCAACAATGGAATATTTTTTTCAATCAATTTTACTAATGAATGTTTTGATATGGATTATTACATGAAAATTAAGAAGAAAAAATCCAAAAATATAATGTAGGTTTGTCATAATGGAGCTGTTTATGAATTTTACCCCCCACTTTACCCCCCCATAACTAATGAATGGCTCAGATCTGACCTTAATTTTATGTCATATCATGACCGCCTAACCCCAAGGAATTCCTACACAAGAAATAAAAAATATCGGTCATGGCCGCCAGAAGGCCCAAATTGGCACTCCTCCTTTGTTCAGGTAAGTTCTATTTATAGCTTGCTCTACAGCTGTTTTTCATGCAAACAAAGCCAAATAGGACAGTATAAGTAAAACCATAATACCTCATAAATGCATTTTCCAGTTGAAAAGTTCACACAAGATCAATTTTGTCTCCTCTGCTATTTGCTATTTTGGTAAATGTCAAGAAAATCTTGTTTAACAAAACAAAATTGATTCAACTTGAGTGATCTTTTCCAGTTTCAAAAAGAAAACAAACTGCAGACATGTTATATAAAAATATTAAATTACCTACATAACTTATCATTAATTAATCAAATGTAACCTGACATGGGCTGCCTTCAAGCCGAGTGTTCCTTCAACAGCTATATATTGTATCTCCATCCATTAATTCCTTCAACAAACAAGAGGTCTCGTGGACCTGCATCTCTCACCATTTCACAGATACACTATACCCACATCATTAATCTTCAAAATAGATCTGAATTAATTTACTTAAACCAACTAAGACTCTCCAGACTGATTATCATTGGTCTACCGTGAGTAGATTTTATTCTGGAAGACTTTCAATTTGTTAACATGTATTTCTGAATAAAAACCTACAAATAACATTTTCCCCATCATCTGGTACAAGATTTTTGGTTAATTAAAAGAATTTAAAAGTGTATTTTCACATATATGACACATCCTGTGACCTTGAACATTGGTCAAGATCATTACATTCTATTGACAAACCTTTAAGCACTTAAAGCCAGCAACCTTGTAGTCAAATATTACTGTATGACGGTGTCAACAAGTGACCCTTGTGACATTGATTATGGATCAAGGTCATTTGTGTTTGAAAACTTTGTCTAGCCATTAGGACAGATGGACAAACAAAGTCAAACATCCCTCATCAGTTCCTTCAACAAACAAACAGTAATCTTTTACACCATCCAGTTCCTCCTAAAAACAAGTTATCACATCAAACTGACAGTATTCAGTCCATTTTTACTACCACCTTTCCGATGTTCTGTCTTTTGAAGATCATTTTAAAAGCATTGTTGATCTGTGAACAGACGAGTAAACTTTAAGAAAAGATGATAAAAGGAACAAATAAATTTATTATATACATGTACTAATGATATATTATCCTTGAAAAAATCAAATGATACTTTTATCTGTATAAACTTGTTCAACTCTCTTTTCTTTAGAAAAGTTTTCCTCTCTCTATGTACCCTATAACAATTTGAAATGCAATATGGTAAATATTTAATCATTAAAGTGAAATAAGAATTAAAGTTAATCTAACTTCATCGGCCGAACCTCTCTTCTTAAATATTTATAGAATGAATAAAGTAACAAATGTTTTAGCAAACAGATTTATGGTCTCCTAATACACATTGTGATTGCTGACTAATGAGCCATGATAGGTTTGTGATAAAGATTACAAAAAAAATAACACTATTTGCTAAAACTGTCACCATTTACTAAAACTGTCATTCCTTAAACAAAGACAACGTACCTCTGATAGTAAGGGGGATTATGCCCAGCAGCTATCACTTCAAAACAAAAGACAACTCACCTCTGATAATGGTAGTATGTCTCCAATGTGAGGGGAGTTATGCCCAGCAGCTATCACTTCAAAACAAAAGACAACTCACCTCTGATAATGGTAGTATGTCTCCAATGTGAGGGGAGTTATGCCCAGCAGCTATCACTTCAAAACAAAAGACAACTTACCTCTGGTAATGGTAGTATGTCCCAATGTGAGGGGAGTTATGCCCAGCAGCTCTCACTTGACAACAAAGACAACTTACCTCTGGTAATGGTAGTATGTCTCCAATGTGAGGGGAGTTATGCCCAGCAGCTCTCACTTGACAACAAAGACAACTTACCTCTGGTAATGGTAGTATGTCCCCAATGTGAGGGGAGTTATGCCCAGCAGCTCTCACTTGACAACAAAGACAACTTACCTCTGATAATGGTAGTATGTCTCCAATGTGAGGGGAGTTATGCCCAGCAGCTCTCACTTGACAACAAAGACAACTCACCTCTGATAATGGTAGTATGTCTCCAATGTGAGGGGAGTTATGCCCAGCAGCTCTCACTTGACAACAAAGACAACTTAACTCTGGTAATGGTAGTATGTCCCCAATGTGAGGGGAGTTATGCCCAGCAGCTCTCACTTGACAACAAAGACAACTTACCTCTGGTAATGGTAGTATGTCCCCAATGTGAGGGGAGTTATGCCCAGCAGCTCTCACTTGACAACAAAGACAACTTACCTCTGATAATGGTAGTATGTCTCCAATGTGAGGGGAGTTGTGCCCAGCAGCTATTGCTTCCACACAATCATCTATAGACTTCGAAAAGACTGGGTAGTTCTTCCTGCTGTAGTCGCCCCAATAAACACCAGTAACTGAACAAGACTTCACCAACAGCAGATTGGCTGGAATGCTAGGGATTTTTCCTGAGGTGTAACCGATGGTCAAGATTCTTCCCTCATGGGCAAGGCTATGGAAAGATAACAAAGCAATTGTCAAGATTGTACCTTCTATGGGCAAGGCTACGGAAAGATAACAAAGCAATGGTCAAGATTGTACCTTCTATGGGCAAGGCTACGGAAAGATAACAAAGCAATGGTCAAGATTGTACCTTCTATGGGCAAGGCTACGGAAAGATAACAAAGCAATGGTCAAGATTGTACCTTCTATGGGCAAGGCTACGGAAAGATAACAAAGCAATGGTCAAGATTGCACCTTCTATGGGCAAGGCTACGGAAAGATAACAAAGCAATGGTCAAGATTGCACCTTCTATGGGCAAGGCTACGGAAAGATAACAAAGCAATGGTCAAGATTGCACCTTCTATGGGCAAGGCTACGGAAAGATAACAAAGCAATGGTCAAGATTGCACCTTCTATGGGCAAGGCTACGGAAAGATAACAAAGCAATGGTCAAGATTGCACCTTCTATGGGCAAGGCTACGGAAAGATAACAAAGCAATGGTCAAGATTGCACCTTCTATGGGCAAGGCTACGGAAAGATAACAAAGCAATGGTCAAGATTGCACCTTCTATGGGCAAGGCTACGGAAAGATAACAAAGCAATGGTCAAGATTGTACCTTCTATGGGCAAAGCTATGAAAATATAACAAAGCAATGGTCAAGATTGTACCTTCTATGGGCAAGGCTATGGAAAGATACCAAAGCAATGGTCAAGATTGTACCTTCTATGGGCAAGGCTATGGAAAGATAACAAAGCAATGGTCAAGATTCTACCCTTGTGGGCAAAGACATATAATATTCAGACACTTATAGTGAGCTTCATCTGAACCCTGCAATATATGTGGGACAAATTTTTTTGCATTTCATGTCAAAGAAATAGAAGATTTTGTTTAAATTTTGCTTCATATTATTATAGTCAACTTCAATCTCTCATACTAACCTTCAACCCCAGCTGAAAATTAACCAACCATAACTATTTCAGATGAAATCTGCCAATCTGAGGAACTAACTGATATGTCTCTGTCCTTTGACATCCTCACCTCTTCAGACACGTAAGGAACAAATCTCCTCCTACAGTATCAAACACCACGTTAGGTCCCTTTCCGTCTGTAAGTTCTTTGAGTCGACTCCGCACATCCTCTGTATTGTAGTCTATGATGTGTGATGCTCCTTTACTTCGTATTACGTCAGCTTTTTTTAGACTTCCACAGGAGCCAATAACCTTCACGTCAAAGCTAAATATTAACAACATGGCAACAAACTACAACATACTGTCCTAACTACCCAGTACATGATCTGACACATCAAATTTATAAACATAGATTTTTTCATCATACTGCAGTGAAATGTACATGTATGTCTATGTGTTAATGTACAAAATGATGTTGACTGAAACAATCTATGAGTTGCAACAACTACTTGTTTTTATATTTTAGATATTACCATCCTCCCTTCCATAAACACTATTAATACCTACCTTTGCCCCTAGCTGTGCACCAATATCCACAGCTGACAACCCTGTGCTGCCTCCAGCTCCTGTTACAAACAACGTCTCTCTGGATATCAAATAGTATAGGTCGGCTGATTAACTTATTTGACAGTGCTCTTTTTGTTGTGACTTTATTTTCCCCCCAAAACAATTCTAGTTTTAAAAGTTCAGTTTTTATACATGTGAGTCTCTTAAAATTTGTAAATATATTTACAGTTTTATAGATGTTTGTGCATTACCGGTATTTTCTGATTCAAAAAAGAAGTAAAGATCAGCATGGCTTATAATGTATTTACTTCTAAACTTGCATTTGTGTAAGGAAAACTTAGCACTGGATAAGATTGATGAGCTTTCATAGACATTTTTGGTAATTTTACATGCCAAACAATTTTCTTTTATTAATCTTACATGAGGTTAAGGTCACAGTGACCTAGTTAGAAAGCAGTAGATTTCTGTGGGTTATCAGTGTATTTAGAAAATCAGCTCAATAGTTATACAGTTGTAGTAACTCACAACATATCAAAAATCTTCATATGCACATCATGCAAACATCATACGCACATCATGCATACACATCATACGCACATCATGCATACATCATACGCACATCATGCAAACATCATACACACATCATGCATACATCATAAGCACATCATACATACATCATGCATACATCATACGCACATCATGCATACATCATGCATACATCATACGCACATCATGCATACATCATGCATACATCATACGCACATAATGCATACATCATGCATACATCATACGCACATCATGCATACATCATATGCACATCATGCATACATCTGGCTCAGATCAAAATTGTGCCATGTAGTGTGATCCCACAACTGTAGTTTTAGCCTGAATTCTGACGTTATATTTACAAAGCTGTCTGCTCTGGTACCTATCAACCAAATGTCAAGTGTGAGGGAGATAATACATGTATATCCCTTTAATGTCCAGACTAACAGATTAGATTTTCATAAGATATTAATATAAACTGCACCTGGACATGTTGATGTTACAAATCAAATGATGCAAAATTCTGTGCTTAGAGAGTATAATACTTACAATGAAAGAATGAAGTTATAATAACATACCCCATCTTAAGATTGGCCTTTTCAAGTGCCAACCGAGATGTTGCATAGTTGACAACTGACCCTGCAGCTACCTCATATGATATAGATTCTGGAACTTTCCTTAAAACCTGTTGATATATACACCCAAGAATGTATACATATATAAAGCATCTTTTAATATAGTAATATAGTGCAATGATCCTATGGTGTTTAGTAAAATTATGATCCTTCATGATAAACAAACTAGTCATTTGAAAGGAATCATTTATGATAAACAGATCTTTTCAATAAATAAACAGATTTTCTGAGGGGATTGTTTACTGCAATGAAACATTTCACAAACATATTTGAGCTTTGCAATAACACAACATATTAAAAGTGGGTCATGGTCATTCTTGCAAACAAATAAAGGAAGTTTAGACAAATATATGATATTCATAGCTCGATGTTCAGATAATGTAAATACATTTATGTTCTGGCCAAGGCACTTTAAATTAGGTCAAGATAATTAACTTGGTTACAGGGATAAAACAAATATTGAAAGCAAATATTTCTTCCTTTAGCGTGTTTTACAGACCAAATATTAAGTCTGATGAAGTTCTGTTTTCATTCATTTTGTCATGTGTCTGTCTTTCTGTGCTGTTTAAGTCCATCAAGAGTATTCATTTGAACAAAAAATGTTCGCTACTCATTTTTGTTACTTTGAATATTAAAATACTTTTCTCACAGATGATACAACAAAACTCTCTTGGTTATTTGACAGAAGCCATATTTTCAGGCAGATGAGATAAAAATCTTCTCATTACAAAACAAAAATAAAGATGGTGAAAAAGCAAGGCATGTCAGACTTGTCATATCAGAATATCTATAACATATGTAAATGATTCTCTCAATACCTAAACTACCTTTCATTTTTAGGTCATGAACACCATATTTGTTTAAAGAGTGACAGGTGAGTGACTGACCATTTCTGGGATTATGCAATGGTTGGAGAAGCCTCCAGACTTCAACAAAGCAAACACTCTATCACTGGTTTTCAATGTTTTCACATTACTGCCTACAGCCATCACCTCCCCGGAGATCTCCATCCCTGTAATGTGCCCAGTCAGTCAATAACGATCAGAGTAGAAATAATATTTTCATCTCCCTCACTTGTTAGGTACCAGTAATATGAATTAACAGTTCTTATTAATTTACTTGTGACCATACAATAAAATCATAATTAGATTGTTGTGGTTCAGATAAAACTACACAATTTTCCACAAATGTTATATTTATAATCTATACAGATATTTAAAACTATGTCATTTTCTTATACTGTGTAAACTTTTACCGAGAAGATTTCAAATAATGTAAAATAACACCAGGGTGATGAAATAAATAATACCTCTGGTTGATAAAGACACTATTAACATACTGTCGGCTTTTTAGACTTTGTTAAAATACCATAATCATACTACCTGGTACAAAAGGCGGCTGGTTTACTTCTTGGTAGAGCCCCTTACATTGTAATAGGTCAGCATAGTTGATGCCGCAAGCTTTGATGGCTACAGACACCTGCAGGAAGCGAGTTTATAACAATGACACCAGTAGAAAATTTATTTCCAAAATATTCTCATGAAAGTCAGACTCCAGATTTCAGATATCTCATTATTTTTGCACATCACAGATCTGGTTTAATATAATACAGATGATGAATAGCATGAAAACATTGCTATATGAATCAAGGGCAATAACTCTTTTAGCCTTTGATTCCTACAGCTATAATTCAGAAGTTTCAAATACCTCATTTTCACCAAGACTTGATGGATCCAGTGTTTTTCCATCATCAATGATCTCCAGTGGTTTAGAAAAGTCTGTACAAACTGCTGACATGTAGGTTGCCTTCTGAGAACATTGGATCCCATTCCTATAAGTTTCAGTTTAATTGTATTATCAATACTTTTTTCTTTTTTGTTTCACAAGTACATATATCAGCATTATTTTGTTCTCAAGTGAACATTTAATTCATCTCTGAAGTTTTTGATTCAAAAGCAAATGTGAGCATTAAATAACTATTTGTGTCATAAATGAGCTCCATCATCTGAAGGCAATACATACAGTGTATGTTGATTGGTAGGCACAGACAAAATGGGTAATTAAATTGGGACATTGGGAAATCCGGCTGGACAATGCTAGATTCTTAGGTACTAGATTCTGAGTGGAATGCTCATTTGCAAGGAGTAATTTACTGGTGATAACAAACACTTCCGGGTGATTACGTGTTTTTGGGTATTTATTACCCACTTTTCTAGTAGCATACCCAAAATCTAATCCCTAGTTTTAGGCCAGTTACATGTCTGTGTCTGTCTTTTTTTTATATCAATTTACATGAGATTCACAGTCACACGTCAGAGGCGGTCTTATAGATGTCAATATACACGTAGATCGCATATCATTGTCCGTCTGAGCTGGCCTCACGTACCTAACATAATGCATGTTGACTATCGCTGATGAGTAAAATCAGCTGATTAGGGGTGTATCCCAGACGAAATAACCAAGAACCTGACCACATCGTTCTTGTCAGATGTTTTGCCTCATTAATATATGCTTCTACTGACATAACACTTTGACAATTACCTGCACCACAATGCCAAATATCGACATTTACTCCACATGTTCATCGCCACACTATATTTAACCTATTTAACCTTACCGGATGTTGACAAAATGAAACAAGGCATATAAGTGTAAACTTCCTGTGCACGTGCGTACGTAATGATAATGTGTTCTTTACCATATATGTACATCTCTGGTGGGCCACGTCACTGAATGTCTTCTGGTTTTCATGCGAAGTTTGGAAGACGAAATATGGTACGTGTGACAATTTTTGATAAGCATAAATATTGTTTTCTTGAAAAGGAGCAAAAGGGATTTTGTACTCTCAGGTGGTATAGACAAGTTTATGAAAAATGAAAATGTTTTCATTATTTTGCTTTTACAATAAAAAATTATTCCGATACCGACTTAGGACACACGTTTCAATCTCTCATGAAAGGAGAGGGGAGAAAATGGACAGAAAAAAGTCCAAGTCCCTTTTCATGACTCATGGTGCCATCTGCAAATGTAATAATCAAACCCTCTAGCTCTGCAATTAGTTGTCTGGCAAAACTACTGTGCACACACAAAAATGTAGTTAGTCTCTATGGCTTAATTTGATGCAAGTGCATATTTAAAAAAAATAAAAATCAAAACATGTTCATATACAATACTGTTGAATGCATATATTAAAGATGTCAATTTTTACACCTTTTATATGTATCAAAACATTTTCACTCGTTATATATTCCTTGTTGAATTCTTTGTTGAGTTCCTGTATGGGACTGCTATTGATATGTGTACATTCTAATCGGCTGATCTCTCAATTTAATTAAGTTTTCAGCTGACATCTTGAAGAGTTACTGCCCTTCCGCTGTTTAGTTTAAAGAAATCTGTTTGAAATTGCTTTTTTGATCAATTTTGATAGATTATTGTAAAGTTACTGTTTTCAGTATTTTTTTTTCATATTGATGCAGTGATACCACTTAGGTATGTCACTTTTTTTTTAACTTCAAACAGTCTAGATATACTACAGACATTTTTTATTTGGAAAATAACTTCCTTGATTTTATGATTTTATTTGATGCCAGAGGTCGCCCTCGACGTCTTTGATCCAGGGATGGGGATACATTGGAGCCCCTGTTCACTTTGTTTTATTACTATTATCACCAAAAGTCAATTATATGTAATCAGTAATAAAAATCTACACTTAACTTACTAGAGTTGGGTATATTTAAAATGTTGATGTGTGTCTATCGCTGTTATTCATTAAATACTTTGAGGGGAAAAAAAATTAAAAATCATAGTTATTGCCTGTTACAAGTGATTCAGATAGTGTTTGCATTTGCTAAGTATCGATACAATTTTTTCAACTTATAGAATGGAAAAGCGTTAATCATGGTTATATCTCCTACTAACAGGCCGATTACAAGGCAAGTGTAAAAAGGTCACAAAGACTGATTTTTTTAGAACTGAAAGTATCAGCATACTTGCATAACTACACCATTTATTTGACATTACCAAAAAGCATCCTGTAACATACATCAGAAATGATGTTAATTTTAAAGTGATTCTTGTAATATTGATTTTGATCAAACTTAACTGATCTTAAATAATTTAAATTTATTTAATATAATGAACGTTTACATGCCATTGTTAAATGTATGATAATTCCATACAAGTATACTTGGAAATTTCAGCAAGTAAACCTTGTACAATGTCCCCTTGTGGTCAGATCATCTAATTTAGTAATAATTGAATCAGTTGTTGTTTAGTCTCTACAGTCATTAACATAAACAATTTGGATTATTATCTAAATACTTATTCGATAACAAGCTGTCCATGAACAAGTATTTACATATCAACTAATATTTAAAATGCTGCCATGTCTAAGAAATCATCATATCTATTTTTTTAATGTCACAATATTTGAGTCATATGTGAAGCAAGAAAAAGCAATAGGGGTAGAAAAAAATTGTGCTAGGAAAAGACTTTGGTTAATTATTTGGTTTATCACTAGTTTCTTTGTAAAAAATATTAGATTCAAACAAATAGATGGAAAAATAGAAATTGAAAAAATAAAGAAATCAAAAAAAAAAAAGAAAGAAAAATAATGATAAAGTGTCCCAGTTGAGCTCTGAATTCAACACCTGTTATCAAAATTGGTGATGTATTTACATGTTAAAAAACATACAGCTATGGCACGGTGAATCTATTGACCTAGAGTTTCACAAAATGGCTGGCACTGAGGTACAAGAACTTGAATTGAAATTAAATAGTGTATATTTCATCAAGTAAACTTTGTTCAAAGTCAGCTAAAGATGTACTTGAATCAGTTGTTGTATAGTCACTGCAGACATCAATATCGAAATTCAGATTATTATTTATAAAAACATATTTGATAATTTTAGATTGATTTAAAAAAAAAAATCTTTTATGACTTTTTTCAAAGAACTGTTTACAAGCATTTTGTAAATGAATCAATTACAGTATTAATATCAATGTCCTGTTGACAAGCTAGACATAGCAGTGGCAGGATCCTAGAGAGGAAAAGGTCACTATATTTCCAGTATTTAATCAAAAAAAGAATGAATTAATTTACACTGGACATTAAAAAATGTCTACTAGAATTGCTATTCCTGAACTTCATCGTAAATAGTGAACAAATTGACTTGGTATGTTGGGAAATAAGATTATGTATATACACAGCTGGCTTTGTCAGAACAAAGTAGAGCCATATGTTACTGATGTAAGTAGAATTTAATTCAGGAGACTGAAGGAGTGGGTTGATGTTATATAGACCATTTCAGAGCAACCTTTCCTTTCTAATATATACATTAATTGTTTTATTGTTTCCAGGCAGTGACACACAGATGTAAGGTCTAAAAGCTATGGTGTAAACTCTAAAAAAATACCCAATATCTGGTACAGGACAGAAAAAACTGTAACCATTGGTTGACATACCGGGGGCTAACAAGGTTAGATAAATTGTAACCATTGCTACAAGTACAGAGGATAACAAGGTAAAATAAATTGTAACCATTGGTTGACATAGGAGGATAACAAGGTAAAATAAATTGTAAACATTGGTTGACATACCAGGGCTAACAAGGTAAAATAAATTGTAACCATTGGTTGACATACCAGGGCTAACAAGGTAAAATGAATTGTAAACATTGGTTGACATAGGAGGATAACAAGGTAAAATAAATTGTAACCATTGGTTGACATAGAAGGGTAACAAGGTAAAATAAATTGTAACCATTGGTTGACATAGGAGGATAGCAAGGTAAAATAAATTGTAACCATTGGTTGACATAGGAGGATAACAAGGTAAAATAAATTGTAACCATTGGTTGACATAGGAGGATAACAAGGTAACATAAATTGTAACCATTGGTACATGTACAGAGGATAGCAAGGTAAAATATATTGTAACCATTGGTTAACATACCGAGGCTAACAAGGTAAGATATATTGTAACCATTGGTTGACATACCAGGGCTAACAAGGTAAAATAAATTGTAACCATTGGTTGACATAGAAGGATAACAAGGTAAAATAAATTGTAGCCATTGGTTGACATACCGTGTGTTAACAAGGTAAAATAAATTGTAAACATTGGTTGACATACCAGGGCTAACAAGGTAAAATAAATTGTAACCATTGGTTGACATAGAAGGATAACAAGGTAAAATAAATTGTAACCATTGGTTGACATACCGTGTGTTAACAAGGTAAAATAAATTGTAAACATTGGTTGACATACCAGGGCTAACAAGGTAAAATGAATTGTAACCATTGGTTGACATAGAAGGATAACAAGGTAAAATAAATAGTAACCATTGGCTGACATACCGGGGGCTAACAAGGTAAGATAAATTGTAACCATTGGTACATGTACAGAGGATAGCAAGGTAAGATAAATTGTAATCATTGGTTGATGTCCAGAGGATAGCAAGGTAAGATAAATTGTAACCATTGGTTGATATAGGAAGATAGCAATGTTAAGAGTATTCTTTACAACTAGAAATGTCAAATAAAATTCTTTTACCATTGTAAAGTCTTTCAGGGGCTTTGTGAAATTCAGAGCTGTCCTTAGGCTAGCTAGGTGTCTCCTGTGAGTTGGTTTACAATGATTTACATAGTTTACCTTGTTTAAATAGGAAAATTATATTTTTAACATTTTCAGCCAAACAAGCAAGGCAATTCTACTCATATTACGCCACAAGAATTCAAAAAGGTGAAAAAATTGATTTATGGGATGCCCCCCCCCCCCATCCCCCAACCCTTATGGCCTCATTTCTCTAAAACTAAAATTGCCTCATATTTCTTTATCTGTTTTATTTTAAGGACTGTATATAATAAAAGGTATACACCATCTGGTACAACATGTGACATACATAAAAAAAAAAGTAGGCAGTTTTACATAATAATTAACACATTCTTTTCATATAATATTATCATGTACATATGATATGTTTCTGCTGTGTATTGAAGAGGTAGGACCAATGGAACAATCATGTCCCCGTACCTTAACATAGATCAAAAGTATATGTTTTAGTATAATGAGAATGTAACCCCACCTCAGGAATTGTATACCAATCTGTTTACATATGTTGGTAATAATAAGTTGGCCATCTTGTCATTACTTGTGACTTGCCAATGAAAGATACGGTATACCCTGAATAAACACACATTGTATATTACAATAGTAAGTCACCTTTCATTTGACTCTCGCAAAGGTCAGATACAAGGAACTTTGGCACCCTTTGACATTTCAGGCACCCTTTGAGAGTATGATCATTTCAGTATGATCAAGCTTACACTCCTTAGAGAGTATGATCACGCTTACACTCCCTTGGAGAGTATGATTAAGCTTACACTCCCTTAGAGAGTATGATCAAGCTAACACTCCCTTGGAGAGTATGATCAAGCTTACACTCCCTTGGAGAGTATGATCAC